GCACACAGCCTGTGAGGCTGCTTAGGAGTTCAAGTCAGGGCTTTCATGTTCCTCCCTTGCCCCATTAACACCATCCAGTGTGGGATGCTTGATGCCATGTGTTGGTTGGAATTGTCCTTCCCTGGGGTTTATTTTTCTTAGCACTCTGAGGAAATCACTTCAGGCCTTTCTTTACTTCCATGGCAGAGTCCCTGAAAGCAGCAGCCAGTATCTGTTGAGGAGTATTATCTCCTCTGATAATGTTCAGGACTAGAGCTCAGCTCGTTTTTAATTGTAGGGATCATCCACATTTCTGCAACCAAATCCCATATCCAGCAGGTCTAGTCTAAAATACAAATAATTCAAATGTGAAGTCTTAAAACCTCAAGAAGTATAATTCATTTTAAATAACATTCATATTTAGCTTTGATGCAATATTATGGCTCCTAAAAATACACAAAGGTCACATCTGCAGGATGCAAAATATTACCATTATGTTTTCCTGCTTGGTCATAACCCTTTCTTAAATGCTGATGGAATGAAAATGACAATTCAGGATAATAAGTATTAAATACAATAAAGGTGGGGAAGAGGGTGCTACTGAGTATTTTAGGGCAGATGAGTTAAACCCTCTTTTGTCTTTATTTCTCTTTCAAAAAACCCATTTGAAACATAGTGCCCACAAGAATACTCCAAGGACTTTGTTTAAATCATTATTAAGCATTAGTTTAAAATATCAGACTTCCTGGAAAATAAAGTGATATTATAAATAGATTCCTTCCTTTCTTTCAAAATTCCCTGTTGATTTCTAATGCATTCAGCAATATATTCAGTGTTACATTCTGAATTCACATGTTATAGACTGTTAAGCAGATGCTGCTTCACTTCACTGACAAAATTTTCTCAGTAGTAGAGTAAAGCTGCCTATATATTCTTGCTCATACAACCCTATTTCACTGTAGCAGCCCTTCCTGAATGCTACAGCTGGAGATTTCTTATTTAAATGCTTTGAGACCAGAGGGTCAGAGAGTACAAACCTCTGCTCTGAGAACGCTCAGGACTATCCATCACTGTTTGCTTGTCTCCATCAGTACTACTTCACCTCTTGTCCCAGTGCTTCATATCTCTGACAGCTCCAAGCCTTTTTCTGATGTCTTGAATGTATGTCTTAAACAGCTGATAGACATTTCCTATTGCTGCCTTTGTCCTTCAGCCTGAGTGCCTCCCCTATCTCCCTCCTGCTGTTCTCCTGATTTATTAGCAGAGAGCAATATTATCTCCCCTTTCCACCTGCACACTGCAAGATTAACCAAACCAGGATTTTGATTGCCTCTCTCTGGCTCCTGAACACACTAAGAGATCCTCAAGGCTAAATCCATCTTTCCTGAACAAAGGAGGTCTGAGCAAACTTTTCTAGATGAGCAGTAACCAAAAGCCCTGTCCAGTCTCAGGAATTCTTCCTTTCTCTGCCTTGTTCAGTAACAACCTTTGCATTTTCCCCAGCTCTGCAGGACTGTGATGTACAAACAGCTGCTGACTAAGACCCCATCAATTCACACAGGGGGTTTATACTTTGCAGTCCTGATATTGATCCATACCTACCAAAACAGGACCTTTAAACTGACCAACTTAGTTGGAAAAAAATATCTGGGTTTTGGAGCCATTGATCCCAATCCAGAGTGGAAACTCACAGGGGAGATTAGACCTAAAACTAGACCCTGAAGGACTTCATCACTGCACACACTCTAACTCATTATTCCCTTTCCTAGAAACTTCATGATTGTCTCCCTGCCAGGCAGTTCCTGGCTCACTTTACATTTATTTATCTCCAGCCTTTTTCACTTTAGCAGTGACTTTGAATGCAGCACTCAACAAAAGCAGATAGATGAGATTTACTTAGTCCAGTTTGTCTAAAGAAAAGGAATCATCTGTCTTTTAAAAGTAAAATACTAGTTTAGAGCTTTGGCTCTCCTCCAGATCACAATGGGGTTTTTTGATGCAGTTATTTGATTCTGCATGGAGCCACCCTCACTACTCTCAATCCTATTCTCAGCCTCTGACTTAACAAAATCCCATTAATTATCCACCTCAGCCACACCACAGTTTCTCCTTATTTCACAGAGTTCCTCCTTTTATAGCTCATTTTATGTTTTAGTTTCTATTTTTACTTCTGCTGGTACAGAGTGGCTCAATTCATCCACTTAAATGCAAACAGAGAACTAAATGTGGCAGGTCATGTTATAACTTGTGTGCAGGTAGGGTAGGCAAGAATGGGCTGGAATTGGTGATGCCTTGTGTGAAACAATTGTCTGTGCCTTCTGCTGCTGCATTTCACCCAATAAAAATACAAGGAAAAAAAAAATCCTTAGAAAAATGTTTGGCACTCAGTTCTGATGTCTTGTCCCTCTCTGAGACAGGAAGAGGTGTTAAATCTAAGATTTTAGATACTGTTTTCCCTGTCCCCAAAATGAGATTTACTGCAACTTCTACTCCATGAGACTGCACTTTGTGTCCATCTATAAACAAGTTTGCGCAAGATATAGCTCTGAAGCTCAGTGTTAGGAGCCTGTTGGGCAAGGATCAGTTCTGGTTCCTAGAGGAGCACAAGGCACAGGTGTTAACTTGAAATCCTTGTAGATATGAGGAGCTGGGTGGCAGAGGAACAGGCTCCCCCTGAGTGCTGTCACCCACAGACATCCCAGAGCTGAACTCCCTCCCAGGTGTGAGGGAGCAGGACACAGGCTGTGCCTGCCTCAAAGCTCAAGTGCAGTCCCCTTTGGGGTAGAACACATTTCAGCACAACACATCCTTTTGGAATGGGAAGCACAGCCCAGTGGGCCAACTGGAATTTTCCAGTTTAGCTGGAAGAAGGTAATGTTTTTCTGTTGGAATCAGACCCAGGAGCCCAGAGCCTCCAGAAAATGCTTTGGAGAAAATAAGGAGCACATAAGCACTTTGATTTATATGATCCATGTCCAGCAGCACAACAATCCTTAGCAGACCCAGACTACTTGTTCCATTTTTTTCCAAGAAAGAGGTACACAATTTCCTGATCACCAGTAACAAGATGAGAAATAAATATTTTTTCCACCATACTGGAGCAGTCAGGAGCCTTCTACAATCCTCTGTATTGGTGGTGAGAGACTGAAGTTGTCACTTTCAATTAAATGCTGTAACTAATCTGTTGTTAAGACACTGAATGCAACGGTAAACATTTATAGTGAACAGATATCCCTTAGGTCAAATAAATGACAGCCCTGAATGGTCAGCCAGATCAGATGTTGAAAAAAATTAATTTCTGCTTATGGAATTCCCTAACATAGTGGGTAAAAAAAATCACTGTGATACTGACCAAACTGGAAGAGTGCCCAGAGGATCTGTGAAGTGTCCATCTTTAGAGAAACTGAAAACTCAATTATAAAAAGTCCTGAGACATCTGACATAATTTTAGAATGGGCCAAATTTTGAAGGAGACCCTATTTTTAGTGGGAGTTTGGGCTAGATGATTTCCATAGGACCCTTCCAACCTGAACTAGCATACAGATCCAAGACAGCAAAGTCATCTTTTATGTTAACATTCTGAATATTGACATTTTTCCTAGGAGGGAAGTGGGACTTGAAGATAAAAGGAAAAAATACCTCAAAAATATTACAGAAGAGCCTAAGTGTCTCTATGTATATGTGTGTGTGCATATATATGTGTATATATATGTGTGTGTGTATATAAATATACACACACACATATGTAAATGTTACTGCATATAGGCACGTACAACTCACTCTACCCAAAACTTTGGTGCAAGATTTGAATTGGGATTCCTGTCATGTACATTGCTCAACAAAATATATGTTTTAGAAGTCAAATAAAAGCATAGAGTCTACTAGTTAGCACTTGAATCAAAATTCAGATGAACATGAACTGGGAATAGGAATCCACTTGTAGCTCAGTTCTTCTGGAAAGAGTCACATAGAAGGTGATCATCTGAGAAGGGACACAATCCTCCTACTCATTCTGAGCAGCAGCTTCTAGGTTCATTCAGAATCATCAGGGCTGAGTTGCCCCAAAGTTTGCCAGCCCAGAGACAGAAGGACTTTCAGGACAGGTTAATGCAAGACCCAGCATCAGACAGCAGTTCAAAATAGGTGTTTGGGGATAATCTGCTTGGGTCTAATGATCACAAAAGATGTTACCACCCAACATTATCACAGGCTCAGATGTAGTCAGAATGCAGCCAAAATAAGCTGCCCACAGACTGCACAGTTGGAGCTGATATTTTGTGCAGGCAGTGAAAATCCTCCAATGAAACTATTCTGAGTGAATAGCAAAGCTGTCAAACACTGAGCATTTCTACTCATAATCAAGCTGCAGAAGAACCTTCAGCCTCCCACTGCAGTGACTTATGTCCTTGGGTCAGTCACAATTATTTCCAGTGCAACCTTGATGGGCATCTTTCCTCTGCCAGCAGCTCAAGCAGTCTTGGGAGGCTAGAAAAGAGGCACAGTCCATGCAAATATCTAACACTGAGTCCTTCAGCTGGCTGAAAAGATATATCAGAGCTCACAGAAAAGCAGAGCTATCACCAGACTGTATTTCCCCTTGATCTCTCACCAGTGCTTCAGAAAAGCTTTTATTTATATAAACACACACATAAACCTTTCTCCAGTGGTAATTACCTCTGTGCTTGGATTTCCACAACAATCACAGATCAAATAAATGGACATTAAAACTCACTAAATGTGCAGTGGTGAGAAAAAAAGTCATCTCCAAGACTTATTGCACTCCACTAAGCTCCACTGGCGTTTTAATTTGATGCCATATCAAAGGAAAGTTTGTGATTAATTTGGTGTTGGCTGTCAACAGATAACTCTTTTGGAGCCTGACAGTTTCTAACACACTAAACATGTGTTGGAATAAGAAAATTCCATCTAGGAAAGGTGCAATGAATCAGAGCATCACACAAGAAATGTACAGTTGTGCTATGTCAGTTCCCAGAGGGACAGCAGAAGGTGTGTCTGTTTACCTGGGATGTCATCGGTGCTCCCACTGGTGTGTTTGAACCGGTCTCCTTCCACGTGGACATTTGGACACAGCACATCTGGAAAAGCAAAAGAACCAGCACAAAATTATCCCAAGGAAACACGTCATTGTGGAAGCTGCAGAACTAACAAAAGGCTGATCTTCTGGGTTTTGTTCAGGACTTGCATGTGGCACCTCAGCAGTAATTCCATCCCATCTGCACATCCTAAATTCCCTTCCTCTCCCCTGTAGCCTAATTTCATGACGGACAAGAGACCCAGTATACTATGTCTGATTTTGAGCCACTTTTTTCTGCCTGACCATACAGGAAGGCAGAATAGATGAACTGAGCCTCTCCATCAGTTGGGACAACACTCTGGGTTTGTGTCTTCTCCTGCTTGAAAATCTGGATGAGAGTCACAAAAAAACTTAAGGAAATACAGAATGTGCTTCTGCTCTCAGCTTGGCTGGAAGAGAAGTTCTGAAAGGGGAGCTGACACTGAGGTACTGCCCAAACTTTTCAGAAAGGACAGCTCCTACTCTGGAAACCTCCCTGACTTTGTTCAAGCAGAAGTTGAAGTTAAATTACTTAAATTTTGAAGAGTATTCACCCCTACACACAAGTCTTAAAAAGCCATGAAAATACCCAGCCTTTGTCAGCCATTTCTCATGCTCCCAATTAGTGTCAACACAATTGCAGATAAATGCTTTTCCACAGAGAACTGTCTACGTATCCACCCCTTTCCTGCCAAATCTTTGAAATAACTTTTATTTATGATTTCTTTTCCCAGATCAATAGGTTGTTGCACACTTGTAAACAGTGGGGACAGGTAGCTCAAGGGATCATTTTAATGAGAACAACTGGTAGAGATATCAGGTCTGTACATGTTCAATATTATAATTATAACAATAACAAAATAACAGTAACAATAATAATTACAATAATAAATATATACCATTATATGTATAACACTGGACATATTAGAGGGCCATAAAGATGATCTGAGGCCTGGAGCACCTCTCCTGTGAAAACAGGCTGAGAGAGCTTGGGTTGTTCAGCCTGGAGAAGGGAAAGTTGCAGGAAGACCTTATAGCACCTTCCACTAATTAAAAGGAGCTTTCAAAAAGTGTGGAAGGAACTTTCCACATGGGCAGATAGTGATAGGGACAATCTTTTATTACCTCTTAAAGAACTGTAGCCTCACTTTTGCCTGTATTTTACAAATGTCCTGTGCTCCTTTTGGCTCCTCCCCTCCTGCCTGCATCTAAGGAATGAGCATAAATAGCTGGAAAGGGAAAGAGGTTTATTGCAATGCTCACTTTCCAGTGACTTTCCAGCCACAAAATAATTCACTGAGGCTCAAATGAAGTTGGTCCTTTCCCATCCCAGTTATCAGCACAGCTCTGTGTGTCCAGAGGAGCAGAGTGCTGGACTGACAGCACATCCATCAGTCCCAAGGAGCGACCAGGTCCCTTTGCCACACCCAGGGCAGCAAGGCTGGAAAGGCAAGACAAAAGCTGCCTTCCTTCTGTTGGAGCTTTCTATGAAAGCCCAGACACAGGTGAACATTTTAGTGTCAAAGTGAATTTATGCCCATTTTTTTCTGCAACTGTCAGGCAAAACTCTGAGCAAACACTTGTGATGCTCAGAGGATTTGCAGCAATGAGCACCCACTGAAAATAGCAGAGACAGTCAAAAATCTGCACTGCAGCTAAGGATCTGCTGATTTGTAAATCTTTACAGATTTACAGAAGAGAAAGTACAGCTGACTGACCTGAGCTTTCAGTTTCTGCTCCCTGTTACATCCTCTGCTTGCAGTTGGCCTTAAATACATATTGTTTAAAACTTCTTTCTTGTCTGCAACCTTATATAATATTCTGTCAATCATTTGCTTTATCCAAAATTTTTATCAGCAAAGATTTTGCATTTATATCAATGGGGTTTATGGAAATTTTTAATAGCACCAGAAGTGCTAAATATCCTTTTACAGTTGCACCAGGAATGATGACTTTCCACTGACACCTGCTACATGAGATCAGTCAGCTTTTAATCCATTGTAGAGTGCTACTTTTTAATGCAAATGCAATTCAAGACATAGTAACCGTGTCTAAGAAAAAATGTATTTTATTAAAGAACAAATGTATTTTATCACAGTAGTTACCATATCAACCAAACTGTAACTCTGCAGAAGAAAATTAGTTTTGTTAGTAATGACATCTTTCTCATAAAATTATAATTCTTGAATAGGGATACATAATAATTCCTTCTCTGTAATACTTTATTCACTGGCTTCAATATCAAATATTACTTTTTTGTGAGTGAGATCAGGAAAATTGCTCTATACCTATACATATGGACCATTTTTCAACTTCTAATAGCCTTACATCATCATCATCATCATTTCAAAGGCCCATAGAGGGACTAGGAAGCTCTGTGTAAGTAAATTTGCAGATGGCACCAAGCTGAGTGATGCTGTTGACACACCTGAAGGATGGGACCATCCAGAGGGACCTGGACAAGCTCCAGAAGTGGCTCATGGAAATCTCACCAGGTTTAACAGGACCAGGTGCTGGTGCTGCACTTGGGTTGGGGCAGCCCCTGGTGTCCATCCAGGTGGGGGTGACGGGCCTGGGAGCAGCCCTGCCCAGAGGGACCTGGGGGTGCAGGTGGGGGAGAGGCTGGGCAGGAGCTGCCCATGGGCACTGGCAGCCCAGGAACCCCCTGTGCCCCTGGCAGTATTATGTCTGTTTTAGTAATTCCTGGCCAGGAATGGTGTGATTCTGCTGCCCCTTAAGGCTTCCTATAGAAAAACCTTCCCTGTACAGTGACAAACACAAATCCCCATTGCCAGCTTTCCATCCTTGTGTCCATAGGACTCTGCTGAAACAGTTTCTTACATTTCATTTTAATTCTTTCAAGGGTAAGCAAGCCCTCAGCTGCCAAGGGCTCCTCTGGGGACTGGTGTATAATGAATGCTGAACATGTGTAGCTGTCAAGTTCCACAAGAATAAAGTAGAGAGGTGAGAATGGAAACACAAGAAGGTTAAAGCAAACATTATTTATTATCATGTTTCTTTTTTTTTTTTTCTTTCCTGACTGAGAATTTCAGGATTCCAGAATCTCAGCAGCACACAGTGCATTGGCAGAGATTCAGACACTCTGAATCTCCATCACTATTTCATTCCCACAAGAAATTCTCTAGTTTCCCTCAAAAGGTGTGATACTGCCAATCCAAATATTTGAGGTGTCTCATCCCCTGACATTGAAGTTTAGCCCCTCATAATCCTGTCTATGAATAAGGCAATGCAGGGCAAATGCAGGCGTCCCTAAAAGTTGTCTCCCAAAACTTTACAGGCAGAAAAACTTTACAGGCAGACAGCCTGGCAAGAAAGAGGAATTTGGGTTAAGGAGTGGGTGGGTTTCATATTCTTATATAGATAGTATTGCAAATTTTTTCTGCATTGAAATAATTTTCCCATTGAAGATTGCATTTAAAGGGGAAGGGGCCTGGTGAGAAAATTTTTTCTTAAAGTCAAGAATATTTAATGAAAGTAGTTTCTCAGAGGAGCTTTCTCAGAGCCCATTAGCTGTGTTCTTTAATTACGCAGGCAGTTCTCTGTGCAGCAGTTCCTCCAGCACATTCAATTCCCTGCAGTCAGTTGATGACTCCTATATATAGTACTACCTTTATTTGTTCTTTTCTTTTCTTTTATAAAACATCACACATAGACCATTCTATAGCCTCCAAATTTAAGGGTTTTTTTCCCCCTCACTCTTTTAAAAATGCATCTTTTGAAAGAATGCCTCCACTCTCTGCCCATATTAACTGAATATTTTTTTGGCAAATGTTTGCTGTCAGATATTCTTTCCCTGAAAATAACCCAATCCATAAAGTGCCACCCACCATGGAAACAAATTTATAAGGAAAAATGTGGCATTTTTTTCAGCTACAGTGGCAGGCAGCTCTGACAGTGCAATGATACTGCAACAGCGTCTGTACTAACATTATAATTTGTAGCAAGGTGTAGGTACAACAGAGCATCACAGCAATTATATGATTACACCTTGCAGTTTAATGCCTTGTGCAACTCTCCTTTCCTTTCTGAAATCACACTGAATCTTCACACCATGGGGTTTGAAGTCCATCAGTGCCAGGAAAATCACTTGTTTGTGGCTGCTGAAGCCAAGGTCGATTCTGTCTTTTTTCCTTCAATGCCTACATTGATGCTGGATGAGGTTTCCGTATTCTCTCAGATAGAATCAGAGCTTCATGCAGTGCTTTGGGCTGGAAGGGACCTTAAAGATCCTCTGTTTCCAACCCCTCTGCCATGGGCAAGGACACCTTTCACTAGGCCAAGTCTCACAGGCCCCATCCAACCTGGCCTTGAACACTTCCAGGGATCCAGCATCCACAGCTTCTCTTGACAACATATTCCAGTACCTCACCACCCTCACAGTGAAGAATTTCTTCATGATATCTAATATAATCCTGCCCTCTTCCAATTTAAAGCCATTACCCTTTTTCTATCACTACAAACCCTTGCCAAAAAACCCCTCTCCAGCTCCCTTGTAGAGCTCATAAATGCTCATGGTGGAATGAAAAGGGAATAGCAAACCCTCACCACAGCACGGCTTTCAGGTGGAGAAAACACAGCCACAGCCCACCCTACTCCTCATAAAGCTGTCACATTTTTCCACTAAAAAATTATTCTGAAAATGCAGCAGTGCCCAGCTGAACTGCTCCCCAGGGTTCCCTGTCTGCTGGGAAAGTCCCTGACCTCAGGGCACTCTGGGGATCTGTGTCCACAGGGCTCCCTCTGCTTTTCCAGCACAGTAGCCAGAAAAAGTGAATTTCTGTGTGACCATCCATTCAGTGCTGGCACTGCTCAGCAGATGGTGTGCTCCACACAGAGAATAAACAAAATTACTGCAGGGTATTATACCCCAGAGAGCTCCCATGCAACACTCATTTAGGGTCCCAGGCAGCAGGACACTCTTATTTGAAAGGCTTTCTATAGGATGGAGAAACAGAGCTCCTTCAACGAGCAATTCAGAGCAGAAACCAAATTTAGGTGCCC